AACAAACTGGAGCAAGATGAGTGGCCCGTCACATCCCCTGACAACCAGGGGGCAGGATCGAGGACCACAAGTTGAGAGGAAGAGTGAGGCAGGGGAGCTGGGATCAAGGGCCTCAGGCCGGAGGCCAGAGAATTCTCTCAGCTCAAATGCAAAGCCGCCTCCGTGTGTACTTTCTCCTACTTCTTTTCTTGGCACCCCTTTGGCTGAAGAATTGACCAGGTTGCAGAATTTCTCACTCCTCTGCCGAGAAAAATCCCTCCTTGGCGCAGGCTCCGCAAGCAGATTTTCAGGCAGGGAAACAGAGGCGCTTTCATGGGTCAGGACCATGCACTCTCGCTTTGCCTAAGCCCTGTTTGTTCCCTCTGGCTGAAAGAGGCCTTTTGCTTGGGGTGCCAGGGTTTGCCGGAGCCAGAGAGCACCCAGGGCTGCGGCTGCTTTGTTCCTGGACCCCGTGAAGCCTCTCAAATTCTCACGTGCGGTAGACGGAGGGGAAGGCAAGAGACCGGGTGCCGGGAATTGTCTTCACGTTGGGTTTCTGTCACTTGTCGCAATGAAGACCTGGATTGCTGGCTCTGTGACCTTTGGAAAGTTACTGAACCTCTCTGAGCATGCCTTGCCTCAACTGTAAAATGGGGCTGGTCACAGGACCCCAGCAAGGACAGGGAGGTGGTGGTGAGTGGTGTAAGTTAGAGCTTCCAAATACGAGCTCTTAATAAAAGTTGATATTGGTGGGGCACCTGGGTGCGTCAGTTGGTTAAGCATCTGTCTTCGGCTCAGGTCATGATCCCAGGGTCCTGGAATCGAGCTCCGTGTTGGGCTCCCTGCTCAGCGGGGAGTCTGCTTTTCCCTCTCCCTCTGCCCCTCCCCCCACTCATGCCCATGTGCTGTCTCTCTCTCAAAAAAATAAAATCATAAAAAAAAAGTTGACATGGTTAAGACTTTACAGATATGCACTGCCTTACAGAATACTGGTGTTCAAAATTGTGCACGTTTAGGTATATTCAAGGGTCACTTCTCTTACACAGTAAATAATTTTGGGGGGGGCCAGTTTGAGAATTTGTAAAACTGGAGGGTTTGCTGTGTGCTTAGCACGGTGCTGGCTACTTTACTTTTATCCATGTCTATAATCTGTTTAACAGTCTGAGAGATGTGGGTATTATTGCCTCAGAGAGAGGAATCTGAGGCTCTGAGACATACAGGAGCTCATCTCTCCCCCTTGTCCCCCAAATGATGCTTTGGGGTTGTTGGGGTCCCGTGCTGGGTGGCCTCCTTTGCAATGGCTGCTTGCCTCTGGAGTCTGATTGGGTGCCTGGCTCTGTTTATTTCTGATCCTTGAGCTCTTAGAGACCCAGAGTTACAAGCAGAATACTGCATTATGAGTAAAAGCGCTGATAAACCACTGTTCTGGGAAACCTGATTTTTGAAATGTTAGGGTGTCTCTCACAGCACTCCTCACCTGGCTACACTTTGGGGAAGGAGAGAGGCATCGTCGCCCCTCCCCCACCATCCCTGAGTTCTCCCCAGGGGACACGGGCTCTGACTTTCTTCAAGCTAGAAACGGGGTGAGGAACTTGCAAGCCAACTTTTGAGGGGTTTATAGGTGAGGCTTCCTGATTCCTGAATTGTTGTGTGTGCGTCATCTTACACGAAATCACATTTGGTGTGTATTGGTCAGTAATGGAAATGATGCGGTGAGGTTCGATTGGCGCCATCCTGGAGAGCCCACGGGGTATGGTCCTCATCCCCAGAACACCTCAGGCGTGCTTCAGAAGGTTTCCTGTTCATTTCTGTTAGGTCCTCAAGGTTAGCATTTGGAATTTGGGAGTTTAGACCCTTTGGTTCGTATATGGATCATAGAACTACTACTTCATAGCTTCAGGAGATCCTCAGCATCATTTGGACCAAATCCCTTGTTGTTCACTCGTTACTGTTTATGCTGTAAATATTTGCTTAGTACCCAACAGGTGCCAGGACCAGCTTTCAAGATGCTCACAATGTGTGGGAGATGTGTGTTCGGGACAAGTGATGATGGAGGCATGGAGGTTGAGTCAAACACAGGGAGGCTTTTCCCAAGGTGACCTCCGTTAGGTAAACGCCACACAGCTAGGTATCATGTGGAGAAAGGTTTCACGGTGAAATAGGATGGGGAATGCTGGCAAGTGAATATTACGGTTGAATCTGCGGATCTGTGATTATTTTGAGAATGTTAGATGTACCTGGCACGGAGGCCTGTGTCTGAGGTGGATTATCTCCTCTTTCAGAATTTCAGTGTTTGGGTCAGCTGTAATTTGTAACTGTGGTTTTTTTTTTTTTAATTTTTAATTTTATTATTTATTTATTTGACACAGAGAGAGAGACAGCGAGAGAGGGAACACAAGCAGGGGGAGTGGGAGAGGGAGAAGCAGG